ATGTAATCGTCTTACATCACAGCTAGCGAGCAGAACAAATGATTGGAATCGTTTCGTAGGTGCGGTTAGATGCGATTTACCTGCGATAGGGCGAGGTACGCGGCGAGCTCACCGCCGCACGCTTCCGATATGATCGCGGATTCAGTACGGTGATACCTGCGCCCTTACCATTGGTTCCTATGCAGTCGCTAAAAGAACTCACATGTCCAATTACAAAACAATATTACACAGATTCATATTTTATTTGAATAAAAAGATATAATATACATTTATTTGTAACCCACGCTGTAACAATATTGTTGCAAAGTTATATACCAAATTACCATTAGTTTAGTTCTTATCCTAATTCATTAGATCATGGTAAAACGCAAAATATGGCGAATATAATCGATACCCATATGGAAAAATCTATTTTATTTTGGCTCTTTTAAACCCAACATACTTCAAACGATAGTTTCTCAATTTTATTATTATATTTGAATTTCTAATAATCCTTAAAATATATATTTTTAGATTTATTTGTTTCGTATTGTCAGTTTCGATATAGTATTGAAAGCATAGTACGGGAATCCCTTAAGTTTGAGAAACATTTTCCCATCTACCCGCGATCCTATGTATTCGATCTTCGCGACACCGCGATAAACATACGATCACATTCGGCTCCTTACAAGATTCGCCCCATTTCTTCATCAGTCGTATATTCTCTACTCTTATCTCTTTTCGATTTTCTTACTCGATATTTTAGGGAAGACAGTTTTCTAATAACACTAACGTCTTTTGTGGGGAAATTACCAATTCACATTCCATGACGGTTCTAACCAGTGACGAAATATTACAATACCCGTGTGTATTGTAATTCTTGTCGTTAAATCTACTTTTTTCTGGTAACAGAATCGTACCTATCGACTGTACATTGAAATCGGTTTTATCGATTTTCTTCAATTGACTGCCAAAAGGATAAGGTATCAATTCAATCTTTTTTTGTATATAACTTCTGGTTAGATATACATACACTGTTTCTCTTAATGTGGCATATTTACTAAACAATTTTAGTTGTTTTTTTTTAATGAATTAGTACTTAATTACAGATATACGATTAGTAATAATTACTGTCCATATTTTTTAAATATATTAGAGGAATGAAAATCACACAAAAGTAAAATAAAAAAATAAGAAAAGTAAATCTTTTAACAATATTATCCAGAGACGACACTTGAGGTTTAAAATTGTAGGTCTAAAATGACCGCATTGGTGGAACAGCACTTAATTAAATATATTTATTTGACGTCGTTTTTATTAACGTCGTTAAGCTTCAAAGAAGTTGAATATGTTTTAAACAATATATTTATTTGCTTACACAGTTTAAATTATAGACAAATCAAATGCTTACAACCTCTCACGTTCTACGTGCACTGAAGCACGGACAAAAGTAGCGGTAAAAACATTATACCCTTCCTTTCAACCTTGCAAACCTTCTACTATAAATAATTTTATTAGTAACATGTGCAAATTAAATATAAATATATTCCAAAAATAAAAGTCATGTACAAATAAACATAATTAATTATATTATCTTTTGCAACAATAACAATAAATTGTACTGTTATCATTCTCTCTCGCTCTTTTTTTACTTAGAGTCACTTAAAAATCATTGATGGAAAGTAAATCTTAAAGTAAGTAAATATTTATTACAAAGTAAAGTTCAGTAAAGAAACACAGTATACAGTATAGACCTGCCTACAAGTAATGATTAAATATGCTTTATTTCTCTGTACTAAAACTAAAAAATGACGAAGTTTATTTCTTATTTTTAATGGATGAATATAGTAATTAAAAGCATAAAAAATACCCCAATACAATTATTTTAAGAATTTTGTTAATTTATCACAAGAATTTTTGAAAGGATTTTGAATTAATCGTACACTTGGATAAATACTAGTCTAATTCTAAAGTATAAAAGTAACAAAAATTTATATTGAATTGTAATGACAATCAAACTAGCTAGCAAGCTATTAATACCAAATAATGGACAGTGGTAACCATCTTGTCTAAACATAAAAGCATCTTACAAAGCAAGCTGGTTAGCAGTAAACACACAGACTCAGATATACCTAGGTTACTAGCATCTAACTTACAAATTCCGTATTCACAAATCGGTCATAATTCGAAGTTCAATATCATAGAACAAGTTACGACACCCAAACAAAGAAACAAAGTTTAAGGTGTAAAGAATTACTTCGTTCAACGAATAATTGGAGCGACCTCGCAAAGGACGCGTACGCAATGATACATTTTTTGTGGGAAAACCTTACGTTGTATAGATATAACGTAGTAGGTATAATGGAGCTAATGGATCATACAAAAAGTACAATTTCATGGTCCCGCGACATTTTCACAAAACACAGCAAGCCGACGTACAATTTCGAAAGGGCACATATTCGTTAATTACACGAAAATATTATACGAATTCCATGCAATACAGTCATAATGAGTCAGTCCAAAAATTAAGTAGGTAACAATAATAAAGAGCAGTACAATACACTAGCTTAATATAAAGTAATCCATTTTTAACCAATAGCTTTTTTATCTAAATAGTCGTATTATAGATTTTTTAAATGTTAAAGATAGACACCTCCTTAAATAGTGAGATATAAAGAGATAAAGGAAATTTGCTGATTCTATATATAAAATGATGAAGTCGAAAAGGAGTTATGATAGTGAACAAAATTGTATGTTACTACAATCTATAATCATAGATCTTTACTATATATCAATAATGTTTAACCCGTGTGAAAATGTTGATTCTACAATATATATAATAAGTTGTTATTTATAAAATATTTTATGATATTAATTATTAAATTGGCATATTCTAAGGTTTAAAAAGAATAATTTAATTACTGATAAAATAGTTGTACGGAAATAAATAAGAATGAATGAACATTATAAAAATAAAATGAAATATCATTATCTTACATTTGTATTATATTTTTTAACATAAAGTAATATATATATTTTATACGTATATTTATATATAATTTGATTATAAGCGTTACATAATTTTATAAAACGTATTTTCGTTTTTAATTTATTTGAAGTAATAATATATAGATAATATTTTCCGTACACAATAATGCCTCAAAGAATTTATGAGCAAAGTATAATCTTACGTAAAACCTAAAATGTAAGCTCCAACGCAATTCTAGCGTATATCTTCTAATAACATCTTCAAATATATTATTGCAATTAAACAATGCACTTCTGCTGCAAATAATCTAAGAGCCCATATATAGTATGGAAACAACTTCTAAAATTACAACAATCTGCTATGAAAATTTAAAATTTGCCATCAGTGTTATCGACATTCAAAATATTCTTGTAAATATATAATACTATTTTAATATTCTCCAATGTTATATATACATATTTAGTAGTTAGTTTCGTAGTTTTTAAGTACAGGGATAATCCCAACTAACTTATGATTAATTTCGGAACAATCTTAAGAACTATTGAACGGATTTTTAAACTTAAATAAGTTGATATCAATGGTTTAGGTATTATATTTCGGTATTTTTTTTGTGTAAATTATATTAAATACGTATGTACGTTCGTACGTTGTGCGATACCGGGGCTTGTCATCAGTAGGTGATAACATAATGCTACATAGTAATACTAATATTTTTCTGATACCTACAAATATTTACTATGTTTATTAATTTAACGAAATTGTATAAGAAGGAAGAGAAGCTATTAATTTACGGACACTCAAGTCTCAGTTATAACTTTCAATTTCAAGTTAGCTTAAATTGCAGTTTAGTATTCTGACGTCATATAATATTATTAGGTCTATATATTTTTTTTTATAACATATAGAATTCCTTAGTATTAACAATACTTTTTATTTATAATTATATGAGTAACTTCGACGACATTTAAATTGTACATTATAATATTATTATACAAATTTAGGTTATTGTCTGACGAATGCCATCTATCAAAAGGAATTGCCATTGACTTCAGAAATACATAATCCAAAAGTAAGTATTGTTATTAAATTAATAAAATACAAAAACCCAATAAACTATAATATACATATTGTTTATTCCTAATATTTCATGAATGAAAATAATTATTGAAATATATATTCTTAATCAATCCTCACAAAAAAGCAAGTTGCATAGAAAATTATACTAAAAAAGAATACCATTTATATTTCGGCTTTGCACGGGTGTACGTATATTATATATTAAATTAATGAAATCACTCTAGCTATTTAAAAAAACGCTTTAAAATCCGTTGCGTAGTTTTAAAGATTTAAGCATACATAGGGACAGACAGCGATAGGAAACCTCTTCCAGGCAACGTCAGGATAAAGAAAATCAATTTACTATAACTATAAATATTTGAAACTTTGTATCGCTTTTGATCTATAGTCATATCATACAAAAATATAATTAAATATATTTGTACTTTTCTATTTATAAAAAGGATATTTCCAATTCAATCGCATTTACTAGGCGCATAGTGCGCACAATATTTCCACTTTTTATTACAGAATTTTTGTGATTACACTTTTAATTAATATATGTGTTAGTTCTGATTTTTGAGGTATACATAGTAAAGTGAATATGTTTTCAAAGAAATACCCTGAAAACCAGATTGGTTGTTATTAGAGTACCTATATATGTAAATACTTATGAAAATATATTCTGAAATATAAATGCCTTTGTTGATCGTTAAATGTCTGTTCAAGGAATTATAAACCACATCTGTTATATGAAACCAACAGATTTTTATGTGATAATTAAATAACTAATATAAATATAAATAAATAATATAAGCCGTTTAGTTTACACACTATATTTTCATTCCCCTTCATCATCCCCAATCTGCACGTACATCGAAGTATCCTTGGCTATAAAAAAACATTAATTGGATCTGCCCATACTAGCTAGGTTATGTTGAGTATATAAGGTAGGCGCGCAGGAGTCGGTCATCAGTCAGTCAGTGAACAGTGCTGTGATACAACTTAACATATCCAACATGAAATTCTTGGTGAGCATATTATTATTATAAAAAAACTGTTGTATTAACATAACAATTTTTTCACCTGCATGAATATAATAAAGTACAATAAAAATAAAAAACATTGGTAATTTCTAATAAATTCAAAAAATTATATATATATACTATTTTATAGTTTTAGCTAATTTATTGTACATATTAATAATTTACAGAATATCTTTTGCATTAATATGTTATCCTAGAAAACTTAATATTATAACTTAAATCGCATGATCATAAATTATAACCATCGAGACGAAAGGACCGTAGGATATTGAACGGCGGAAGTTGCAACCTCACGAATTATAAATATCTTGCTAGAACCCTTTCTGAATAGAGCTCATATTTGCAATAATAATTTGAATCTATGAAATAGATATAAACTTTATTCGAGTGGACTTAATATTCCAGTTAATAAATTAATTATATTTGCATTCTACCGGCCGGAGACTTCGGTTAGTCAAAAATAATGCAAAAAATGGCTCTTTTTCGGTCGTTTCTAGTTAATTAAAAATAGTACCACTTTTATTTCAAATTTAGTATAAATACATACTATTGAAAAGTACGAGTTCTCTATAGTCAAAATATTTTGAGGTTTGAAAAAAAGTATAAAAGTAAAGATTTCATAAACTAGTAGTTATTTGATAATATCTAATTAGTCTAGCATTTGGTAATCGAAAACATATTAATAACTTTCTGTCAAGTAAACCATTAACTGTATGTAATAAATATAAAATTTGTGATTGATTAGCGTAATTTTTATAATAGTTTGCTTAAATCTTTCATATAACTGTTTTCACTTACAATCATTATATGAAGAAAATGTTTAATTGATATTAAATATATCTGTTACTCATAATAACCAAAAACAATAACTTTGGATGTATAACAGAATTTGCATATACAAAAAAAAATATTAAATACGTTTATATAAATTTATTGGTTCATGTAACAGTATGATGATATGATGAGTTATCGTGGATATAACAATATAATGAGTGAATTGTGGTCTTTTAATAAACCAATAGTATTATTAATTTTATACCAATAATAATATTTTTATTACAAAATACATATAGTCTACAAACAATAAAATAAAAGATGACATGTGATGAAGTAAATAATAGGAGTTAAAATTTATTGTTTCTATTTAACAGATTGTTGTCGCTCTTGCTGTGGCCGCGGTCTCCGCCGAAGAGGCCAAAAAGACAGAAAAGCGTGGCCTGGCCGGTCTTGGGTATGGCGGTCTTGGGTACGGAGGTCATGGTGTGGGTTATGACGGACTCGGATACTCCGGCGGTCTCGGATACGGCGGCCTAGGATATGGTGGTTACGGTGGCTATGGTAAGTTTTCGAATTTATTTATAACTACACCTTATAGCATTTACCTCTATCTTTTGAGGTAAAAAAGAACCTATATCAGTCTTTGTAATAATAGTTATTACATAAATTTTCATTAACATTCGTTTTGTTGTTTAGTCACCAAAATGTAATAAAGATATAGACACATTACACCTAATTAGTAGAGACTAAATAAAGAAGGAATAGTGAAGGAATTGTGTAATTTTTCTTTTTTTTTTTCTATTAAAATTAGTAAGATAGTAAATCGTTTCGAGGTATTAGAAAATACGATAATTTTCTTCTCAAAATGAAATAATTGACAGACAGTTGAAATACCATCGACTCATTATTATTATAACATCCCTTATCGTCCCATTGCTGGTCAAGCCTCTTTTCATAGGAACAAGTTTTAATTTACTTGTATCTGGCTGGCCTGACGCCTAGGTATAAGGTTTTATTCGACTTTTCAGTATTTTACTCTTATATTTGCGCATTATCCCAAAGGCGATTCTCGCAGCATCCCGGGAATGAAAAATGAAGATCTGTTATCCTAGAGTAAATAAATAAGGCTTTTCAGAAAGCATCATCTGTAAACCATTATTAATTCTGTACCTACTTATTCCTTAGAATATCATAGAATTTGTAATGCATCCTCTTTGTTCCAAGATTACTCAAATAATGAAGTTATAGAAAGAAAATATCAGAAAGTGCTGCGTTAAACCAATTTATTCGAGCCATTAAATTCTTCCGAGACTTAAAAGCCTAACAAATTACATTGCTTAGGTGCTGACTATACGACAAAGTAGGCAAAAGTACAATACTATTGCCATTTCTTAAACAAACATTAAAAATGTTTCTTCAACTGCAAAGATGTATAATATTTTTTTTATTTACTTGTATTGAGCTCGAGTGGATTAAAGACGTTATCAAACTTATTGAAGTCTAGAATATGTTGTTGTTATAAATATCGACTAACCAAAGCCACATCCATATCCAAAGTTTACTTAAATCTTGCGTGCTAGAATTGCTAAAATAGCTATTTTTATTATAAATAAGAATACTTGTATCACATATCTATATATATGTATGCAGAATAATATTGTACAGTATTCGATAATCCTTTGAATTGAGATCATTCATTTATCAAAACTATTTCTCGGCCGTTACGTTTGATGAAAGTGTCAGATAGTCTACCAATAACATGGTTCTCGTAATTGTACATTGCGAAAAAGAATGAAATAAATTAAAAACTTACGAAGAATTAAGATACTCGTATAATATAATAATGTTACGAAAATTCTAAATTATTTACTTTACTGATATGCTTGTTACATACACTCGTAAGTAGTGTACTATAAATAACACTACCTTTGCACTTTCAAACTTTGTGTAATATCAGGACCACTTAGTTTTCTGATTTACTTTTATTAGTATAAAGGTCAGATTTTATCGCCCAATTCCGTAGCTTGTAGTTACATTTAATGATTGCAAATTTCAGAATTAAACCTCCTAATAAAATCTTAAAACGAACAAAGGATACCATAAAATAACGTTAGTGGTAGAATGGAACAAATCCGTAATACTCTAGCAGAGCAAATCTCTCTAAGAGATTAATAAATACTCTAGCGAAATGAAATGGCCGGCTCTAGCGCTCATTATCTCTTGAGAACTACCTTACTGTTGGTATGGTCAACTAATCTTTCTAACCCAACCCAGCTTTTCGTTCGATTAACAGCTTTACTTCATTTGAAATAAGTGTTTAATTACCGTCATAGATTTACACTGTTACTAATTAATTTACTTAATACAATTTTTAAAGGATATATCGATAGGTAATATAAAATGTTAGTAAGAAAATTATTTTTTTATATTAGTATGTAACGGTCCGACTGATAAAAATTATAATGTATATATATTATGCATTATGCATACCGTAATAAACTCCTCTCATGCGTCTGATAGTGTTATATCTCTTTACTCTAATTCCATGCCAAAACGCGGCTCATAATTTAAATTCTTTTAGTTGTTACATGTTACTTATTTATCGATTGCAAATAATATACTTCGTACTATCCTTTTAGTTCATTGCTATAATGTGTGTGCATACAAATAAATCGTTCAGCTATACGGATAGCTGTCGTTGTAGTTGTTTCCTGTAAAAATTGAAGTCACTGGTAATTTTGATGCTCTTAGAAAAAATATTGTCATTTTTATATTAGTGTACCTGTAACTAGCTAGTTATTGTTAATAATACATAATGTTCGATTGGAATTAATTAAAGATCATTACGATATTATTTATTTTCTGAGAAAAAAATGTCATAGCTATGTAGGTACAGGAGAATAGACATCGAAATATACGGAAATTCTAATGAAAATCATAGACAATACATAATTACATTGATTACCACACTCTGGCAACACAGTGGAGGAAGTAAGGGCCCAGGTATTGGTAAGAAATAAGTATACGTCCGTCGCGTAAGTAATTGCGTCGCGCCTACAATGACGGTCACTTACAGTGTCACAAGTCTAATGACACACGTGGGAAAACTCAGTATCCTTGGCATACAATCTAGGTAATAATAGATATCACCACTGAAGAGTGTCATGGCGTAGTGGTTTACCACCCCGACTCATAGACCCTAAAAGTCATGAGTTCGAATCTGTGCGATATTAAACATTTTGTGTGTCTTATTACTTATATATATAATTAATCTCTAGCGATCGAAGAGCTGATAATAAATTCAACCGAAACACGACATTAGGTTAATCCCTTGTTGACATTAATATAAATATAGTTAGCTAATTTGGACATGTATGTGTAACATGCGTAAATTTTTGCATTCACCACGACGTTAACAGTTGACAATGCTTCTGACTACCCCATTTCAGATTACAATTTATACATCTGTACATTTGGATATTTTGTATCGTACCTTTGTGTATGGAGGTAGAGGTGTTGTAGAATAGAATATATCTGTTAATAATGTATTTGTTACTTATATCACAGATAACATAATATTACATACTTATATTCAAAAATATATACTTAATTACAAGGACAAATTCGACATAATAAAATCTAATAGGTATGTATATTTTACTGACAAATTTCCATTGTAACCTTCATATTGAGCATTCGATTAATAATTCGTCACGTTCTTTGTTCACAAAAAATACAGCTACTGTGAGTTAAACCTTCTTCCTATTCAATTGAGTTGTTATTATATTTTTATCCGAGTGACCAATAATGGAGCATAACATTTTTCCAAATACATTTTTTAAAGCAGTCATACAAACAACTATTACAAAAAATGAAACTTTTCAGTTTATGTACAAAGTTATCGTTTTTTATCCTCCATTTTATTTCTTGATGAAAGTTGTTTTGTTTCATAAATATTCTACCCTGTCTTTATATTGCGATATCCTTTACGCCTAATCTTGTGTATAACGAATAATATAATCGAAATAACAAAAAAAATTATGCCCAGTAGGTTTCCTGATTGTGACATGTTGATGTTTCCTTCTTCTGTCCACTGCTTTTTTTTAAACGTGGAGGCGGTTTAATTCAGACTAGTCCTATTTTTATTTTTATGGTTTTCTCCGGGATAAAGTGTTCTATTGAAATTAGGAATGAAAAATATTTACGTGCCCAATAATCATCTTCTATTAATGCAATTTTAAATAGGCCTGTTGTTCCTAACACAGGCCGCTTGTTTCTTCGACACTTATTACTAGTATGTGATGTGTGCTAATGACTAACAAAGCATAACAAGAATGCCGTAACCATGTAAGGTGTAAGATTAAATTTAGGTTACTGTGACGAACAGATGAAAAGAATCACAAATACTTTTGAAGAAGGTTATCACTCCTTAGAGAGGCTTCATGGTCTAAATATTCTGATTACAAATCAATATTAATAACTTAATTATAATATTTACCCAATATTATTTATTAAAATAATATTTTGAGAAGAAGTAGATCATACAAATATTATCCAATTTTCGATTCCATTACAAGTAATTATCCTTGCGAAGCCGGAACAGTCACTAGCAGGGATGCCAACCGTGCATCCTCGTACAATTTTGTAGGACGCTTAGACCTACGAAAATCGATTAAATTAGTATGATATATGAAGTTAGACAGCAAATTGCGCTAATATAAAATATTTTATAAGTATTTTAAGGTTGGCAGCCTTGGTCACACTAGTCGCTAGTCATTTTTTTAATATTTCATGGATATTTTACAGCTGCCGCCCCCGTCGCTGTTAGCAAGGTTGCGTACACCACCGCTCACGGTCTCGGCGGTTACGGTGGATACGGATACGGCGGCCTCGGTGGATACGGCGGATACTCCGGCCTCGGTAAATATCGTGGGAAACTTTCCCAACACCCTGAGAAATTCTGTAAAATAATAAACAACATTATGGATTTTGTACGATAATCAGCTTGTAGCTCATTGTCTATAAACAATACATACATAAACATGAAAGATATGAAATTACTTACTCTTACATATCAATTCCCGTATATTTCATTAGATTAATTTAACTACTGAGTCACATCAAAATTACGTTTTTATATTTTTAATTTATTATGTCTTTTAGTACCGGTATATTTATGTATGTTCATAAGATTTCATTATTCTATATATATCCATAGGGTACTATACTATGGGAGTCAGTGTATTACTAAAGCGTAAGCCATTTCTTTCACTTTTCAAATTGGAACACAATATACAGAGAACTTTGCGAGTTGCTTATTTTACTCGTATTAAATTTTGACATCAGCTTTTTCACATTTCAAATTCCAGCAAGTGCTAACAGCAATTACAATTGATTGAGACAAATTTAAAATATATTAATTTTTATCTATTTAAGGATACGGCGGTCACGGATATTCCGGCCATGGAATAGGCTACGGCGCCCCTGCTCTGAGCTACGCTAACCAGGTCGCCTACAACGGTTACGGCGGATACGGTGGATACGGACACGGTCTCGGTGGCTACGGTGGTCTGGGTGGATACTACGGACATCACTAAACCACGACGAATATCATTTCGATACAAATGTGTTCATTTTATTATTTTAAATACTTGCAAATTATATGGTACTGCAATACCATCCAGTATTGAAATTTTATAAAATACCTAATGGTTGCACTTATACATCTTCGTACCTCGAACTCAGTGGGCTTTAGTACCACGATATTTTTGTACAATGAATTATACTCTGTAAGAATGTGTAAATATTTAAATATATAAACTAAACTATATCTTCAGTTCTATGTTATTATCCCCATCACTTCCCCAATGTGACAGACAGCTAACAGCTCCAGTTTAGTAAGAGATTCAGATTCAAATTAGTAAAACCTTAAAAAATTTCTTCCAAGTTCAAATTTTATATTCCTATAATGTCTTAGACCGCCTGGATATTTTAATGATAAATTTTGATTCGTTACAGAGATAAGAACCAAATTTATTAAACAATGATAACTGTTTTTTAGCATTCAAATTATATAATTCTCTATAATTTTAATAGTTGTCAAAGTACCTTATGAGATCAAACACCTTTTAGGTATTAAGAATAATAAAAGCATATTTATTGTTATACATAGGTAGATATTGATTGTTATGAAGGAATACTTCAGAAATAATGTAACGATATTAACCGATAGCTGTTTGATATATGATCCATCGCTGTTTATGGATCGACATAATGTTAATGGAACATAGGGAGCCGTATCCAATAGGCTCGAGTTACCCATTCTTTAGGTTTCCCTTGCGATGAATTATGGGCATTGGCAAACATATATAAATATAATAAATCATTTTACAATTGTACCTTTCAATTTATTATGAGCATAACAAACGAATTTTCCTTTCTTTTGTGAATAGTTAAAGGTTTTATTGTAAAAGAAAAACACTTGAATTTTTGAGATATGTACTTACCTGTAAAGTGTAAATTGAGCTCCAATTTCCGAATAAATCCTTTGCGACATTGTTCGCGTAGACCCATGGCAAACAGCCGGTCAATCTCTGCTGACAATCACTTGACAATCACCATCGGTATACTAGGGTAGGTAGGGTAGGGTATCCCCATGTAAGGGAGACTTCACTCTTTCAAAGATGTGTGTGCATTGGGAGGTTTTGCCTACACATTCAGGATTACTTAGGCGGTTGTTTCTAAGATAATAATTGAAATCTTTAATATGGATTTGGAAAGGCGTAACTAACAATCATGAGCGTACATACATCTTAAAATAAATATTAATAGGCATGTTGTCTTAATTAGAATAGAATAATATACTTTTTGTATCTCCTACGGGATAGATATATGACCAATAGGGCAAATACGTTTTAGAAGTATTATATATACAAGTCTATTGTATATAGTTGGCAATAGATAAAGAAAACTAAATGAATACCACATGCAAGCCTTATAACTCGAGATATATTGCTTTACGTCTTTCATAGGATCATTGTATATTATGCATATACATATGTTAAAATTTATATCATTCGTGTATGCTTTAATGTCAAGGGTTAAGTACAAGGCTCGTTATTTCTACATTTCTAAATGAACAGAAAGGATTTAAAAGGTCAGTGGGTCCTGAAATACCCTGATTTGGAAATTGAAGTACCTGTCTTTGTGTTATATGAGAAAACGTATTGAAGTTTCAAAGGATACCGCCTTTGATATTTTCATTTGCTTAAGGAATATATGGACTTTTACGTCTGTTTCATATTTCACCTTTAAAACTTTAATGCCTTTTGTTTATGGTTATAACGACTTTATATTTCATTATTTTTCATTAAAAATGAGTAATTAAAATATTAAGTATTTCATAGTCAAAAACTATTAAATTTTATACATCCTCCTCGTAGAAGCCATGGAATCCGTAGTAGTTTATTCCTGTTGAATTTGCCACGATGGGCTAACTGACCTGACCTAAAGACAAATTGTATGTTACTTATGATAATTATCCTATATTGTATACAGGTAAGATCATACAAAGCTTTGGCATACTTATCAAAGCGCTATGTAAGTGCACTTGCGTGTGATCTCCTATTTGTCCAGCACTACAATACGATAGTAATAATAGTGCAAATCACTAAACAACCACTGAGCAATAGTAAATTAGATCATTGATCAATGATAGCCACTAATCTGAAGAATAATTAGACCTAAACTATTTATACATACTATACCCTTGCAATTAGTCACTAAGATATATCCTGTAGAGGATAGTTCTTAGTAGGAAGATCCTCCTTGCATTCGAGCCACTATCTAGTACTCAGATATTTATCTGTGCAATGACTATGGTCCTGGACTGCATTTTAATCCAGCAATACAAAACAAAGTATTGAAGCCTATTGTAGAATTTAAAGGCTTAAATATACCTTATCGGTTACTCTTGTCTCTGAAGCGCAAAGCAAACAGAATATTAGCATAAATGAATTATTGACACCATGCAAAATAAGCGACACCCGAAGAAAAAAATGTATTATTCAAAAAGGTAAGTCCCAAAGTTTAGTAAAACCAGGATAAATGGAGTATGTTGAGACGGTACACCGCGAGTTTGAAGCCTTCAAAGTTACCAGCGAACTTTTGATATGTAGGTACTAAACTTCACGGTGTAGCAGTTTGCTTAGAACTCTTTGTAGTGTGCGTTTCCCACTAAATTTACTTTTTGGGCATCGATGACATCGGGTGGGTGTCTAATATTATTTTTATCTATAATTATTGTTATAATATAATATATTAAATTAATAGATTGACTGAAATTAATGTTTGAGGGATTGACCGGTAGAAAACTGTTTGTATAATTTACTTCGTCTGTTTTTTTTTCTCTTTCGTTTATTTATTTTGTACTCAACATGTGGCAATGATAATCACATCGTACCATATTTATTCCATATTCTACATATATGACAAAGAGAAATAACTTAAACTAATGTGATGCCAGCCAGAAATAATAATTTGGTTGCATCGAAAGCTGCTCTGCCAACACTTTGTCTTTTGTAACATATATTATATGATGTAAAAAATTATTAAATGAGTGCATATTTCTAAGATCAAAGTACACTACTCAGATTTATTTTTGATCTTAATGCAAATGACTCTGACTTCCCCATCCGCGATAACAGTCATGACTGTATGTTAAATAGTTTTAGTATATAATATATATATCAATTATTTGATATAGATAGGAAGTAATTTTTTAAAAATGTAATAGTTGATAAACATTTAGATACATAGTACCTAAATCTGACACCACAAATTGTATGTTACTTATGATAATTATCCTATATGGTATACAGGTAAGATCACACAAAGCTTTGGCATACCTATCAAAACGCTATGTAAGTGCACTTGCGTGTGATCTCCTATTTGTCCAGCACTACAATACGATAGTAATAATAGTGCAAATCACTAAACAACCACTTAGCAATAGTCAATTAGATTATTGATCAATGATAGCCACTAATCTGAAGTGTAATTAGACCTAAACTATTTGTACATACTATACCCTTGCACCTAGTCACTAAGATATAACATGTAGAGGACTCCTTGTATTCGAGCCTCTATATACACACACACACCCATACTATAGATATAATTAGAAATCACACTGCGTTTTATATCAGTTTACACGGTACTTATCAGAATTGAATCGAAATTGAATATATCTAACCACATTTAATGGTTCCAAAATAAAGAAGTTTTACACATTATGTTTTGTTTTAAAACATATTGTTTAGATTAAACGTATAACAATGAAAATATGTTAAGATTTAGAAGAAGTTACATATAAATGTCATGTCTCAATAAAATTTTCGTTAATTAAATCTTGGAACTGAAGCCTAAAAAAGTTCAATAATGCATTGTTTGTATATATGTAAAAAATAATACCTACTGCTATTACGGTAGGTAGTAAGAGATACAATTTGTTTTTTTAAAGATACCCACCCCTATGCAATATTCATGATACCTAGAAAAATAAAACAAAAGAAAATGTGATTAACACGTCAGAATGAAACGCAAACGATTATTCGGCTTCCAGATTGGCATGTCGACCGAACGCGGCACAGCGTATACGGGTGATAACGCCTGAAAAAAATAACACGCAAACATGTCCCTTCAAACATTTTTGCATAGAGCGGTAAACAAATGATAGGTACCGCAAATTCATTTTCAAGTCACAAAGATGAAATGAAAAACTGACTTTCACATTTATGATTAATAATTATGTATAAAAACTTTATTATTGGTAGGTATTTTAAAAATCTAAAATATTTATACTTATTTTAAACTAGATTGCACAGTAAACTTCGTAACACTTATTATTAAATTGTTTACAATTTTTATCATTTCATTTGCTTCATTTTGATAAATATTTTTCTAAAATAAAAGTAGCCTAAATTACTCCCTACTACATCAGCTACCTGCCCAAAAAGGTCCCGTTAAAATCGATCCAGCCATTTCAGAGATTAACCGGAACAGACAGATATACAGACAAAAATTTTAAAAAGTGGTTATTTGGTGTATTTATATTCATATGCATGTAGTAAAAACGGTTATTTCAATATTACAAACAGACACTCTCAATTTTTTTTATATGTGTAGACTAGATTGGACAGTGAACTTCACAACATCTGTTATTAAATTGTTTACAATTTAAATCATTTCATTCGCTTCATTTTGATAAATAATAAATACTGTTTTGAATTAAAAATATGTAATAAAACAATTTAAGAAGTAGGTACTGTTTTGTATATTGTATACTCATTTCATTTTAAACTATTCAGTTGATCTGTTTGAATAGGGTATTTCAGATTTTTTTGCTAAATTATTATTATAGTGAACAAAACCAAAAAAAAATCGAATCGGTAACGCTAGTTTTGAGTTTTAAGGAGATTAACCAATTTATACATATGTAGATAAAGTCCAAATTTAAATTGCGCCATTAAATATAAAATATATTTACTTCTTGGAAATTAGAATTATTGACTGAATATCGGTGTTGTCTGTCACAAAAAGCGCCGGAGCGGGAAAATCACGTCTTCATATCAATTTTATGCCCCATTTACACGTGTAGGCTTCAGAATCTCTGAATAATTTATATAAACACAGTCGTATCGTATTACTGGGTTATAACGACCTTCCCTATAACGTTAAAAAGGCTTTATATCGTGAATTCGTCACGTTACATTTGTAATGTATGTATACAGTTTATTTGTTTTCTTTTATTTTTAATGGTAAGTTAGACAA